ATAAATTGTACAATAGTTTGTCTGTTAATAAATAAATTATTTAATTATATATAGATACTATGTGGAAAATATTATGGTACTAAGCTATTTATTAGACTGTATTGCTGGTAATTAATTTACAAACCTCATCATTCTCTTCTCTCCTTTTTCTCTTAGCTCCATTTGTTTCATTTAGAAAATGTACCCCCATTTTTTAAAAATATAATTAAGGTTTATTTTGTTTCGTTAGTAGAAGATTTTTCCATCAACAACTACTTTATTAGGATATATGTTTTTGACATAAAATTGATTTTACTAGATTTGTACTTAAAAAGTACTTACTTATGGTTATGCTTTTGTATCACATAAATTATACTATCTCCATTTTTTAAGTAAATGACGCCGTTAACTTTTTGACACGCTTTTGATAATTCGTCTTATTCAAAATTTACATAATTATAATTTATTTTGTTATAAGTTGTTTTATCACTAAAAATATTTTAAGCATGATGTATATTTTATGCATTTGCACAAAATTTGTGAATAAAACGAATGATTAAATGTGTGTCGGAAAGTTAACGGCGTTATCTATTAAAAAATGAAGGGGGGTATTAGTAACGTAATTGTTAGTCACAACTTTATTCTAATGTAATAAAAACATGCCTTATAATAAAAATAAAGAGAGTACATGATATTTTCTTTTTGACGATGACATCACATCATTGCTCACGACCTAACAACACCCTAGCCAGTGGCAAACTTTCGGTACTTGGGCCATTTTTTGCCCCCTTGATCTGAAATGGCGCAAGGGCCATATCGTACAGAGAAAAGGAGGGATAAACAAAGGTAAAAGTGGAAAAGATTGCATTCACTTGTCTCTGAGAGTGATATTAAGCTTATATTATGACCAGTAGCATTTCTTTGCATGCAAAATTTTCAGACATATGCATCCAAAAATTCAATTCTTTTTATGATGTTTTGCTTGTTTAAGTAGCTGGTGTTATTGAAAGCAAGACACTTTTTTCGAGAACACATAAGAGACATACAAATATATATGGAAAAAAGGGGTCCAGAATAACTTGGATTTCTGATAACCTACGGACATGTGAGCCACAGATCTTTGAGACAAGTTACAGGAGATGCAAACACGAAAGCAACCACGACTTCATCGCCGTTGACCGTTGTGTTTGATTCATTGCCACGTATTATCAGTATAGTCAATTCCTAGCAAAGTACACCGTTTCTAGATATACCCTTTGCGTTGAATTCTTTCAGTCTATAAACTCCAGCGACGTACCAGTCGCCACTATTGAAAAATACGGCTCCAAACTTCATGTTCTACTTGTATCCGAATTTATTTTTTTTCGAATTTAATTTGTATCCGGATTTATTGAGAAAATTTCCTATGTCCCTATGAAATTTCACACGATTCTTTCTATAACCATAAGATTCGCTTGATCCCTTTATATACCTCTGAAATTTAAATTGCATCAACACAACTCAAATGGAATTGTCAATTCCATGTTTTTGCAAGAGGATCTGTTGCCTAAAATTTTAAAATCCATGGTTTCAGTAAATTAACAATTGCGCAGAATTCAATCGAAATGATCATGCTAATTACCGGGTATGATCTGAAATAAAAAAATACTACTCACTATGTGTCCTATGTCCCTCTGAAATTTCACACGATTCTTTATATAACCATAAGATTCGCTTGATCCCTTTATATAACTCTGAAATTTAAATTGCATCAACACAACTCATCTGGAATTGTCAATTTCCTGTTTTTGCAAGAGGATCTGTTACCTAAAATTTTAAAATCCATGGATTCAGTAAATTAACAACTGGGCAGAATTCAATCGAAATAATCATGCTAATTACCGGGTATGATCTGAAATAAAAAATACTACTCACTATGTGTACGAGACAGAGTTAGGGAAGCAAAATGTCAGGGGAAGCAAATTTTCATTTTGCTTCTATATTTGATAATTTGATCGATGGAATGTGATTGGATTTTAGCGTTGAATCTGAAAGGAAGACTTTTGTTGATTTATATTTCTATCTCTAGATTGGGACCTGAGAATTTGTTCTTCTGGAAATATTTTGATGGTAGTAGAAATGCGCCTAATTACGTCAACGGAAACTTTTACAATTGATTGATTTCTTTTCTTCAGAAAGATTCTCCATCTTCCATTATCTGAAAATTTCTTCAGAAACACCTGCAATATCTTCCTTTGGAGATATTCAAGATGACATATGCTGTTGCTGGATTTATTTTAGATAACCTTCTGTTGCTTGATATAAGTACTCAGTGATCATCATCATCTTCTTCTTGTGTAATTCTTCTGTATTAGGAACCATGAACTTCTGTACATGTCGATATCATCAGTTTTGACCTTTGAACCACGGAATTGCGCTGAAAATTATTCTCTTGTAAAAATCCAAACGTTTTTTTAGAAGGGACAAAAACCAAACGTTTTCACCAACCTAAACCAAGCAGTCATCCTCATTCTCAGCCCCTGTTTCTGTAGCCAGCAATTGGCGTAAAATCCAGGACAAAAGAAAAAAAAAATCCAGCACAAGGCCAATGAATACAAAAAAGAAAAGGAAAAAAAAGTTTTTTGGAAAGAGAGAAAAAAACCCTCTCTTAGTAATATATCAGGATACGTGTTTGATCAAATTTATACTTCTACTGTATATTGTCTTGTCATATTTACGGTATTTAAAAAAAAGTTGGACCACCCATAGCAATTCTGAATACGCCACTGTAGCCAGTGTACAAAAACAAACTTTACACGATTAGCATCTCACTTAGCAAAAACAATGACAGCTATAAAGGAAACGATCACCTTCTTTTCTTTCCCCCTGAATAAATAATCTACCAGAAAAATTCTCTTTGGTTACAGAAAAAAACACACAAGGCAGCTAGCACGATCGTGCAACTGCAGAGAAGAGAGGCGATCAGAACGTGATCTGCATGCACAAAACCAGAAATCCCCCAAATTTTCCTGCTGATTTGAGAGCTGGATTTGGAACAGACTGGTTACCATCTGAAAAACTGAACCTTTTTCTAAACTTTCTTTTCTTTTTCCGTGGGTCAAGCCCACAGGATTGAAGAAAATCCAGGACCTTTCGTGACTTGTTTTCGCAGGCAAAACAGAAGATTTTTTTCACTATAAAATGCTCTTCTGGCCTTCCCTGCATCTCCATCGTCGGCTCTGAATTCCGTTCACCGCCGTGTTTTTCGTTCGTTCTGTTTCTTGGTGTTCTTGAAGAGGTAATTTCTTGGCCTATTTGCTCTCCTTCATTTTCAGTGCAAATGTGCAATGCTGATTAGAGTTTGCAGATGCTGTTTGGTTTAGTTTAGATGTGGCATTTTGTTAGTGGTTTCTTTGATGAAAAATTCTTGGCTATGATAAAGTTTGCTTTCTGAATATATGAATAGTGGCCATGGTTCAAGAAACTCCAGTTAGGTGGGATAATTTATGGTGATTCTGGGCGCAATTCGGGGAAATTTTTTTTGGCGAGAATCTTATCATTGAGATAAAGAGGGCAAGAATATCAACAGACTTTTAATCTTAATAAAAAGCACTCTTAGCGTAAGAGCAAAGCATTGCAATCTCGTGTGACAAGAACGTTTCTTTTTCTCCATCTTTTTCTTTTTTACCAAAAAATGAGTGTTGCCAACTGCTGCACCTTCTTAGGCCGGTTTGTTCTTGTTTGGAACGCACGGAATGCCCGATGCAAAAAAAAAAAAGAAATGCTGTTAACAAATCACTGTCCTGACACGGCTAATTAGGTGGTAATTTGGTGCATCTGCAAAGAAGCAACAGATGCTTTCTTTCACTGAAAGCATATTTGCATGATTTCTTGTTTCTGCTTGTCCTCTCTCTGATGCTGACTGTATTCCACTCTGCGCTGTAATGCCATGTTAGTGATTAATATGTTCAAAAGAGCATAAAAGAATTGCCAATTGGATGTTAGAGATTACTGTGTTGTTCAAAAGAGCATAAAAGAATTACCAATTTGATGGTAGATGTTACTAGCACCACCTTGGTGTTTCCCCATGGTTTTCTGCAATTCTGCCCATGATCTTTCTGCTTTTCTGAAAGACCTATGTTTCAGAGGTCAAGCTTCTGGAAGGTTATTAGGAGGGATGAGTCGTCATTTTGTCTGTGGGCCCCACTAGTCAGTGTCAATAGTTGTAAAGGGTAGAAATTTTCTTGCTGTTTTTCTTGGAAACAATTTCATTGCGCCTGATCTGATGGTCGGTCTGGTAATCAAATCACCAGATCCTGAAATCCACCAAATCAAACCGTGAGATTTTTGCAGAGGCAAAACAAGAAAAGCATCTGCTTTATTTCTCTCTTGCTTTCTTTTCATCCCCAACCAGTCCTTTTTTCTTCTGTTTATTTGTAGAAGTCTACCACCTGCAGTCTATTATTCTACAGAGAAAAAGATTGAAGCTTTTTTTCTCCAAAGCTGACAATGGTGCCGGCATATGCTAATAGGATACTCCCTTCGTCTAGGAAAAAACCAACCCACTACAATTTTGAATATATATTTATTCAGATTTGTTATGCTTCCTACTCCTTCTCAGGTATGGTGAGATATTTCATAGTATAATGAATTTGGACATATATTTGTCCAAATTCATCGCATTATGAAATGTCTCGTTCGATCTATGTTGTTATATTATAGACGGAGATAGTAGATTCGGTTATTTTTGGACAGAGAAAGTACTCGCCTGTGCTAGTGACATGATTAGTGACACCATCAGATTAAAAAAACATATGTTTTGATTAAAAAAATGGGGAATTTGGGGGGAGCAATAATTTGGGGTTATCCATTGCTGTTTCATCATGTCAGCTGAAAGGCCCTACCACTAAACCAATATCTGTACTATTCTACCACCTATCAGAATTCAGAGCACTGGGGTTTTGCAACTATTTATTGGTCCTTCTGGATCTCGGAGAAACCCTCCATTCGTTTGCTCGTCTCTGACCACCATTGGGTATGTTGCTTCCATTGCCAAACTGTTCCCTTTTACCCATAGGCTGATTGATCTTGGCTGTGTGATTTTTTGCTTGGGTTTTTGAGCTGATTCAGCGGCGCTTGCAGCCTCTTGATCGTGGTCTTGGCTCGCCCATTTCTTGCGATTCTTTGGTGGGTCGTCAGCTGAATCTTGCAGGAGTTTTTGCTGACATGTTCTTGGGTTTACTGCTTTCGGTAAATCTGAACCAAGAGGGGGGTTTCTGCTGCAGTTTAGTGGGTTTACTATGAGCGGATTCGGGGTTTCGAGGAAAACCGGCAAAAAACCTCAAATCCTCGACCTTTAGTTTTGCTGCCACGTTGCTCCGCCCCATTGCAGAGTTCTTTTTGCCCCCAAATTTTTTTTTACTTGGTGCAGTAAGAATCGCGCCTCAGTGATTTTCTCGACTCGTAGTCCGTTGATACTGTGTCTTGCTTATCACTTGTTCTGCTTAATCTTTTTTGCTTCCTGAGGAATGTCTTGGTGCCTGTCGGTGGATGGCGAACCAAAAATGAAGGGTTTTTTTTTTTTGAACTGAGAAAAATCTTTGGGTTTTTGGTTGGATTCTTTCATGGAGTCGCGACCTTCCGTATTCTTCTCTTTGATCTCCCCGCTTGCGGATTCATAATATTCGGAACTTCATGTTGGCTCTGCTTAATCTGTAGCCAAATCTTCATATCTCCAGGGATCTTTCGCTCTGTCCTATCGGATTTAGGAATTAGGATCTAACTGGTGCTAATACTAAAGGGTAATTTGGAACCATGCCATTATAATTTTGCAAAGTTTGAGATATGCCATCGGTATCTCAATGATACTTACTAAAACCCAACAAATCCATTTGATAAAGCTGGTTCTTTTATCCCTTTGAAAACATTGTCAGAGTATATTGGTTCAGGTTGATTTATTTTGAATCAGTACTCGCACTCTGCTTCGTAAACCATAGATGCTTTCAGTTGTGTAGATGAAACAGCTGTTTTTAGTTATGTTTTGATCTTCCAATGCTTTTGTGTGATGTTATTAGTGTTGATTTAGCATGGCTTTCCTGTTCAGAGATAGTCTTGCAATGCTTAGTGATGGCTGTTGACTAATTATTCTTGTGCAAGTGAGTGGTTTTGGTACGTGTTGCTAAGTGTAACCTTTCTTTGCAGTTCCTGAAATTGAGTCATGGCTGCCAAGCTAGCTCGCCTCCACAGTCTCCGCGAACGCCTCGGTGCCACCTTCTCGTCTCATCCCAATGAGTTGATTGCACTCTTCTCTAGGTGAAGATCTCAATATAATATCTTGTGTCTTCTTGGAACCTGCTACTAATTGTTTTGAGTTTTCAATGATTTTATCCATACAGTTGGTTAGTTCTTAGTCAACCCAGATGTGAAACGATAACATGTTAGTATGTTACAAATTCTTAGCTGACAAGGTTATGCATCTCTTTAGTTTTAATGATGGTATCTATAATAATCTGTGATGAGCTCTAACATTTTTGTCTTGAGTCATGAATCTTAGATGATGTTGAAATATTGTTTGTTCATAGCTAGATTAAGTACAGATCATGTGGTCTTAAAAATAAGAAGTAAAAATCAGGTTTATGTGGTAGTGCCATTAACATAGTTCAGCCGCAGAAAGGATGTGAGATCTAAGCATTGGTTCTATTTCTTAAATATCACTCTATGCAGGTATGTTAACCAGGGAAAGGGAATGCTCCAGCGTCACCAGCTGCTTGCGGAGTTCGATGCCTTGATCGAAGCTGACAAAGAGAAATATGCTCCCTTTGAAGACATTCTCCGGGCTGCTCAGGTAAATTTGGCAATGAGCCAGGATGGTTATGATAGTCAACTCAAAGTCAAATACCAGTCTTTCTAACTTACTTCCTTGACTGTATGTAGGAAGCCATTGTGCTGCCGCCCTGGGTTGCACTGGCCATCAGGCCAAGGCCTGGTGTCTGGGACTACATTCGGGTGAATGTAAGTGAGTTGGCAGTGGAAGAGCTGAGTGTTTCTGAGTACTTGGCATTCAAGGAACAGCTTGTTGATGGACAGTAAGTACCAGAACGACGATTTGCAGATTATAACTGAAGCAAAATAACAGTGACTGAATTTTACTTCTGTTTTTCTTAAACAGCACCAACAGCAACTTTGTTCTTGAGCTTGATTTTGAGCCCTTCAATGCCTCCTTCCCGCGCCCGTCCATGTCCAAGTCCATCGGAAATGGGGTGCAGTTCCTTAACCGTCACCTGTCGTCCAAGTTGTTCCAGGACAAGGAGAGCCTCTACCCCTTGCTGAACTTCCTGAAAGCCCATAACCACAAGGGCACGGTAAGCTTCCAATTTGTGGAACATACCAAATGCTTTTATACTAGATGTTTTTTCTTGTGTGAATTGCTTTAAATGTTAGTCCTTTAGAAACCCACTTGACATTCTCTGTAAGTTCCACCAAATGACGGGATCCGAATTTTCTATTACAGACAATGATGCTGAATGACAGAATTCAGAGCCTTCGTGGGCTCCAATCATCCCTTAGAAAGGCAGAAGAATATCTGATGGGCATTCCTCAAGACACGCCCTACTCGGAGTTCAACCACAGGTGATTACTTTATTATTTCTCCTTATCATATAGCCCATGTTATACTACTGCAAATGGAATAATTCCTTACAATGTGATTCATGATTTGAATACAGGTTCCAAGAGCTCGGTTTGGAGAAGGGTTGGGGTGACTGTGCAAAGCGTGTGCTTGACACCATCCACTTGCTTCTTGACCTTCTTGAGGCCCCTGATCCGGCCAACTTGGAGAAGTTCCTTGGAACTATTCCAATGATGTTCAATGTTGTTATCCTGTCTCCGCATGGATACTTTGCCCAATCCAATGTGTTGGGATACCCTGATACTGGTGGTCAGGTAGAGCTTTTTAACAAATTTTCCCCTTATATACAGTACTTCAAATATTTCTAGTTTTGACCTGTTATTCTGTTGTTTGCAGGTTGTGTACATTTTGGACCAAGTCCGCGCTTTGGAGAATGAGATGCTTTTGAGGATCAAGCAGCAAGGCCTTGATATCACACCTAAGATCCTCATTGTATGTTCAAGATGTTGGTCTTGAATGTTTCAAGTTTTAAACACTTCTCAGTGCGAATTGTAGAGTAACGTGCGGACATGATTTTACTTGATGCAGGTAACCAGGCTGTTGCCTGATGCTGTTGGTACTACATGCGGCCAGCGTGTGGAGAAGGTTATTGGAACTGAGCACACTGACATTCTTCGTGTTCCATTCAGGAGTGAGAATGGTATCCTCCGCAAGTGGATCTCCCGTTTTGATGTCTGGCCATTCCTGGAAACATACACTGAGGTAAATGGTTTATCTGACAACGTCCTTCAGAGCTGAGCACAAACCATGAATTCTGAGAGCTCATCTTTTTTTTTTTGGTTGCAGGATGTTGCAAACGAAATTATGAGGGAAATGCAAGCCAAACCTGATCTCATCATTGGCAATTACAGTGATGGAAACCTTGTTGCCACTCTGCTGGCTCACAAATTAGGAGTTACCCAGGTATGTTTGGTTGTAAACCACTCCTTTAAATATTTCTTTCATTAAGTCAATTACTTATGATTTCTCTTCTACATGGATACAGTGTACCATTGCTCATGCCTTGGAGAAAACCAAATACCCCAACTCAGACATATACTTGGACAAGTTTGACAGCCAGTACCACTTCTCATGCCAATTCACTGCTGATCTTATCGCCATGAATCACACTGATTTCATCATCACCAGTACATTCCAAGAAATTGCTGGAAGGTAAAATTTTCTAAAGAGCAGTAGAATATTGCTGCGTTGTGCCAACACCTAAACGGGTATCTGATGTTTGTTTCCTCTGTTTCTTCAGCAAGGACACTGTGGGGCAGTATGAATCACACATTGCATTCACCCTTCCTGGGCTTTACCGAGTTGTGCATGGCATAGATGTTTTTGATCCCAAGTTCAACATTGTCTCTCCTGGAGCTGACATGAGTGTCTACTTCCCGTACACCGAGGCTGACAAGAGGCTCACTGCTTTCCACCCTGAAATTGAGGAGCTTCTCTACAGTGAAGTCGAGAACGATGAACACAAGTGAGTACTGAACTGCTGGTTCCGTCCCTGTTATTCACCTACCATGTAACAAATAATTAAACACTGATTTGTGTGTTTGGTCTAGCTTTGGCTCTTCAGTCTACTAAGTGCCATGCACTAGAACTTTGTAGATTTGAACTGCAATTCTTAATTTTCTCACTCCTTAGTAGACCACAATAATAATTATTGTGTCTGACCCAGCTAGTTTACAATAGTGACTTCAATGCTTGTTTTTTCCCCTTGAACAATTGTTTACTTTCTAGCAGTGGAGTTTGGCATCTAAACTTGAATACACGCTGTTCTTTTTTGTGTATAAAATGTTTATTTAATGTTCTGCAGGTTTGTATTGAAGGACAAGAACAAGCCAATCATCTTCTCCATGGCTCGTCTTGACCGAGTGAAGAACATGACAGGTCTGGTTGAGATGTATGGTAAGAATGCACATCTCAGGGATTTGGCAAACCTTGTGATTGTTTGTGGTGACCACGGCAATCAGTCCAAGGACAGGGAGGAGCAGGCTGAGTTCAAGAAGATGTACGGTCTCATTGACCAGTACAAGTTGAAGGGGCATATCCGCTGGATCTCAGCTCAGATGAACCGTGTTCGTAACGGGGAGTTGTACCGATACATTTGTGACACCAAGGGAGTCTTTGTCCAGGTATATACATACGCTGTCATATTCTACTGCTATATTTCTATTCTGAGCTTCCAGTAGCAAATGATTTCTACTATTTGTAAAGAACAGCCTTGTGCTTGAGACTAAAACTGCTTTTAAAATTGTTTTTTAGCCTGCATTCTATGAAGCGTTTGGTCTGACTGTCATCGAAGCCATGACATGTGGTTTGCCAACAATCGCAACATGCCATGGTGGCCCTGCTGAGATTATTGTTGATGGGGTGTCTGGTCTGCACATTGATCCTTACCACAGTGACAAGGCTGCTGATATCTTGGTCAACTTCTTTGAGAAGTGCAAGCAGGATTCAACCTACTGGGACAATATTTCACAGGGAGGTCTGCAGAGGATTTACGAGAAGTATGTATTTCATGATCTGCAAATATATAACATTTTTTTTTTACGATTGACATATAACTGTAGAAATCATGTGTCCAATCTATATTGATCCTACAAATTTGGACTTGTCAGGTACACCTGGAAGCTGTACTCTGAGAGGCTGATGACCTTGACTGGTGTATACGGATTCTGGAAGTACGTAAGCAACCTTGAGAGGCGCGAGACTCGCCGTTACATTGAGATGTTCTATGCTCTGAAATACCGCAGCCTGGTAAGTTACTCTCGCTGTTCAACAGCTTGTTAATTTCAGTATTATTGCACTGAGCATATCTCTGAATTCTGTTGCTACATTTCTTTGTTGAATCCAGGCCAGCGCCGTCCCATTGGCTGTCGATGGAGAGAGCACATCCAAGTAATGGAGGGGAAAATATGCATCTTCAGCAGGAGAAGCCGTCAGCTGCATTCGAATTTGATAATTTTCTGTAGTTGTCATTTGGCATCCATGTTTGCCATGGATGTGTACTATGTCTAAGGTTTCAGTACTTTTGCGAGATTTTGGGCAGTGCTTGCCTCAAATAAACGCCGGTTCCTGGTGTTTATCGTTCAGAATTCAATGCAATGTTTTATTGCCGCGCTTCCTCAATCTGTCATGTTGAATGACCACTCCCTAGTGCCCTACTGTTAAAAAAGGTTGGTTCAAAGCCATGGATGAACCCAACATTTTTGTTACCTTGTTCTTTTCAGAATTTCCTTAAGAGTTGTGATAGTAGGCCCAGTGCGACCAAAATGTTGGGTTCCTTGAGTTTTCAGTATAAAATTTCTGATATTAAATGCAGATCTTGGCTCAGTACAGAGTCTTGCAAACCATGTGGTTGCATCTTTTCTACTGCTGTAGTAGATGAAACTGAAGATACTACTTATTACTCTTTAGACAAAGTTTCATCATATTCCCAAAATCTTGGTCTAGGATTGGGAGACATCAAGAAGATATAAACTTCACACTCAGGCCCTGTTTGGCAACCCTGAATAATTTTCTTTTGTGTAATGCAAATGCACCTGTAAATTTGGGTGACCCAAAGATGCCAGTGAAATATAAATCCCATGTAGCCAAACTGTTTGTTAGAAGAACTAGAACACTCAGTAGAGGTTTTAGCTAATTACAGTTCATTGCTGATCAAGGTTGCATCAGACATAGAAGTCAGACCGAAACATCAATTTGGAGCTATAATACAAAATTCGATAAACCAATACGAAATTCAAATAAAATAACATTGTTCATCAAAATTTCTGGCCAGAACCATCCAAGAGCAGTTGTAAGCGAGAGCTCGATAATTCCCATGGTCCACAAAAAATTGTGCAGAAGATCAAATGACCAAAATCTAAGAACACGATGATTTGCACCGCACAATTCAAAATCTACCAGATTTTCCTGTTCTCTTCTACTTTTATATCACTATCTCTACTATTATAAAAATTAAAAATGTTTTTGCCGCTACTTTGGTAAGTCATCCGTGTTTTAGTCGGTTTTAATCTTACTCCTCAAAATCCGCAATTTAGAAAAGGACGAAAAGAATCACGCGGAAAAGAAAACGCACCATAAAAAAACAAAAAAAAGTCCAATTCGTACCGGAACGAAAAAAAATTGGCAATAAATGCTGGGTAAAAAAAAAAGCCGATCGACCATTAAAAAAATAAAAAAATCGCCAACTGTAAAAAAAATAAAAAAAAAGTAAAAACCTTTCCTTTTATTCATCCGTTTTTTTTCTGTCCCTATTTTTTTGTTCGTATTTTCTTTTGCATGCGGAAGGGTGTGTGTACATGGTGAGGATTTTTTTAATCTACACGGTTTTTTAGTCGTCAGGTCGAATCCTAGCTCCACCGCCACATCGATCAACCTCCTCATGCTTTCCCTTCTCCGATTAATTGTAAAAATCAATTCTCCACTACTCCATCGTCATTTTCCACATAATTTTTCTTTTCAGTTCCTCTTTAATTCACTAGATTTAATCTCTATTTAGAAATCACCGTTTATATCCCACAGTTTTGTGGATTAGCTCCAATTTTAATAAAAATGAAAAGAGGAGATTGAGTGAATCAAAAGCCCTCAACCAATTTTGGGAGATCGAGGAAGATTCGACCGGATTTGATGGGAGGATCAGTTCTTGCATCGTTCTACACGGACTATCTTCCAGAGGTTGAAGATGCCAATCGACTATGTGAGCTAGACCTATAGTTCTACTTGTGAGCTGGGGTCAAAGAGAAGCATATGGCAATCCACTATGCAAAGCTAGGTCTGTAGTTCTACTTGTGGGGCAGAGAAGCAGGCTAAGCAGAGGGAGGTAGCAGGATGGGCCGAGATTGAAAAGGAAGGAAGAAAATGAGTTTTTACCCAAAACCAAATAGTATAATGTATAGCAATTCAAAAATATTTTTACCCATTACAACGCATGGTCATTATTTCTAGTTTATATAAAAATCTAACTAGTGCACGATCTGAAGCTAAAAATGCAAATAACAAACTAAAAAACAAAATGAACATGCAAAATTGTCCCTATACACCCCATGATCCCTTTCCCCTTGATCCTTTCATGTAGTTCCTAGAAACATCAGATGGCTTGGGTGGCTTTGTAAGAAAAAACCATGAGCTGCCATTTGCACAAACATATTTGTTAACTTTACCTCGCACTTCATGCATGAAATGATATCTTGTGCTAATGTGCTTGCTTCGGTCGTGAAACTTTGGATTTCAGCGAAGCTATATTGCATATTTGTTGCCGATCTTCCAGATGATCTATATTGGCTTATAGCTTGTGATATTGCCCCCATATAGACACATCTGCAATATACTCCCTCTGTCCCAAAAAACCAATCTACTATTGGATGAGATTATTTTCTAGTACAATAAATTTGTATAAACTCTCGTCCAGATTTATTGTACTATAAAACATCACATCTAATATTAGAATTTTTTTTTTGGATGGAGATAGTGCCTTGGCAAGCTGAGATCGCCATGGAAATATACTCTGCCTGGTAGGATGATAACACCACCACCTTTTTTGCTTTTCTGATTGCCAGATGATGGGATTGTTGCTAGCTGATTGGGTGTGTTCTTCTTCCTTGGCAACAAGGCAATCACAAAAGCAGAAAGGTTGCAAGGCCAAGTACATTGTTGAGACGACCACGTTTTCCCAAGGTACAATAATATGGCTATTGTGTTTTCTATGGAACAATATAAACTCACGAGTAATAAGCCTAATATTGTCACCATGAATATCGGCAACAAATCAGCAATCTCCCTCTGCGATTTTTTTCACGACCGGAGCAAGCACATAGACACAAATTGTCATTTCAAGGTCGGCACGAAAATACTAAGCATGGCAGCCACATATAAGTTTACTTGATCTATGAATAAGAGAAGAAAAACAATAAAATAAAATAAAATGCAGGAATTTTTGCAGTGGAAACCGATCATGTTCTTGCCTTATTCTAGCCTTGGAAGATGTCAGCTAGGCTTGATCCGGTGATCACCCACTGAAATCCGCACAACATATACAGAGTAGTAGAATGGAATTGAAGCAAGAACATGATGATTTGTGCAATAGAATCCCACAGCATTTTCTTGTCTTGTTATCCTCCTATTTATAGATGAAGCAAGTATGGATCAGTCCACCATTGTCATGCGTGCCATTCGCGCCATGACGTTGAACACTCTTGAGAGCCGTTCGTTGGCTTATGCAGTGCATGTCGCATCTGCCTGAGAAATGAGACTCGCTCCAACATGGACACATTCTGATCACCTCGTCACCTCGAGCTAAACTAGCGCATGATCACACCTTAATTAGTGATGTACACTAAGATAACGTGAGAGGGCATATAGTTTAGTGGTTACGAGTCATATATAATCATTTCCACCAGTGAACCAACCTGTTGGAATCGGCGATTTTTGGCCGATGACGATTGAGCCACGACCGATTTTTTTTTTTAAGAATTACACAGTACAACACAGACACTCACAACGCACGCACACTCACCCCTATGAACGCACGCACGGTCGATTTCTGTTAAGACTCGAGGCTCAAGAAGTCAAGATGGTTGGTCCATTCCCATCTCTGATAGAGGCGGCGGCGGGCTAGGAGTCCAAGAAGCGGAAGAGGATCCTAACGAAGGCGGCGGCCCTATGGGCGGCGAAGACCTAGGAATCCAACGGAGCGGAAGCGGATGGATGAAGGTGGGCTAATCGGCGGCGCGTGTCATTAGCTCACCTGAAATGGATGAAGATGGCACCAATGGAGGTTCGTAATGACGACGCACTAGAGTCGGCGGCGTCTAGATGACTTCCACTCGTCAAATATGGCTGTTTCTAGAGAGTATGTTGGGAAGAATGGGTGTGCGAGGTTGTATTTTTTTTCATTGGATTGTGTGTTCTCCTCTTGTTGAGATATGAGTCTAAGTGCTCTTGTATTTTTTTTGCTGTGTATATCCTTTGTGGATATAGATACCGGATTAATAAAAATCATTATCTAAAAAACTTCCCATCTCAGTCTGAATGATCGTTCCTATCCTGAGGCCATGGCCGCCGATCCGGCGACTATCCTGGCAAGGATCCTGCTGAGTTGCACGCTCGTTGGCCTGAAACAAACACGCCACACACGCATCCATAGGCCAGGAAAATGTAATTAACTCAATTTTTTTTTCACTTTGGATGGCGTAGCAATTATTAAAAAAAAGTTATATCAGCTTTGCTAAAATTATGTTGATATATTTCTTAGCTAAATACAGTTAGTTTGTGATCTGTTATCTATCTTCATGGTTCGCGCAAAGTGCATCTGGATAAGCCCATAGAACAACATGCCCCCTAATAAGGTGACGACTCCTTTTTGCTTTGCATGACACGTGCTAGTCATCAGTGAATTATTTAATCAATTTACATTGTAATTACATATATAATTACAAATTACACTATAGTTTTTTTTAGATAATGAAAATGGATTATATCTCCGGCTTCTGTCATAAGACACACAGCCATAAGTATAATAGTAATAAAAGGTAAAATAAAAGTAAATCAAAATGAGAAATAAGGTGATGGGACAAATCCCCAACTCCCCTTTATTATTGACTAGCGTTAAACCACATAAAATTTTTTAGCTAACAATTCTTATGGAACTACGCCACCTATAGTGGAATAAGAGACCCTTGGCTACCGATTCCAAGAGTGTAGCACCATTGCGTATAGTATCCTGCTCCTTCTGTGGTAGCATTGTAGACCAAAAGTGGAGCCAGTAGGAAGACATGAAGATAACCTGCATAGGGTTAGATAATTGTTTACCATTAAAAACTTTATCATTGCGACAACGCCAAATTGACCAACATACAGCACTAGCTCCAATTAGAATCATCTTCTTGATGGACCTAGATACCCCTCTAAGCCAATTACCGAAAATGTTTTTGGCGTTACGGGGTGGGGGATATTTAAAAGCAAAAAAAACACACATCTCCAAACAAACTGAGCGACAGGACACTAAATAAAAGATGTTGGATTGTCTCTTGTGCATAGCAGAAAGAACAATGTTTGTCTCCCCCCCATTTTCTTTTAGCCAGGTTATCTTTCATTAGAATTACTTTCTTGTGAAGAAACCACATAAATACCTTGATCTTTAGTGGAATTTTTAAGTCCCACAAAATTTTTTTTATCCGAACATTACAGTTCATGATCGCGGCATATATAGATTTGACGGAAAATTGACCATTCTTATGGAGTGACCGTACAAAGCAGTCCTTTTCATTTGACAGAGTTATATTAGCTAGCCTGAGGATCAAATCGTTCCACTCGATTAGCTTTTGGCCAACAATAGCTCTTCTAAAAGAGATATTTAGCGGCGTTGTGCTCATGACCTCTGCCACAACTTTTTAATTACACCGTAACTTTTATTGTATTTTGACTGTAAAAATTTGTTGATAGTTTTTCTAGATAAAAGTTAATTTTGTTGTGTATTTTAACCAATTTACTTTTATTTTTTTAGTTTACAATAGCATATTAGTGATTTATGTTGTCTTTGGTTCATCCGTAACTTACCCATCTTTTTTTTAATCATGTGATCTCAAATCCGACTATGCGGAGCATAGATTTGTGGCGCTATTATTATAGATAGTCCCATGTTATATTTGGATGGTGTAGCAACTACAAGATAATGTTACATTTGGATGGCGTAGCAACTATTTATAGGCCAAGATGCAGTTACTCTATATTCTGAACTTTAGTGTAACTCCTGTCTTACTAGAAGCAAATGCCTTCCATACTAGGCAGCAATAGTGGATCAAATTAAAGATAGTACAATTTCCTCTTTATACATAAGTCGGGCTGAGGAGGAAGAGAAGGGATGTGTGATCCAAAATATATTTCGAACCAGCTGAAGGGAGCACACACAACTTCACCTCAAGTTCTGTTGGCCACACAATCTAAACTCTAGCCATGATTGCAGGATTGGGATTGGGATGCATTAGGAAACACTTGAATGGCAAAAGTGATGGCTAGTCCTAGCTCATTCCCATATTATTCTATTGCACTTACAAATTTGGCACAATCTTATCTCCATTTGCACAGCTGGTATTGGTCAAACTGTAGTAATTTTAGTTGAACAAACTATATAGATGCATACACCATAATTTTAATTTCAGTTGAGGATAAAGAGAAACTAAACATAGAGAGAGTTGATACAGTGAGACTATGAGAGATACTTCAACTGAACAAACCTTTGAGAGTTTATCATTTGTCCACACTAGCTCAAAAGGTATTGGGGCATAAATCAGCGTAATACCCAATTAATTAAACAAAGAAAGAATACACTGTACGAGTGGTTGGAAACTTGGATTGGATGAACAGCTGGGCCGGATCAAGTTGCGAAATCATCTAACAAAAACTATAATTGATTTGTTCCTAATATGCAGCCAACGGATTGAATTCAAGCTATTTATCAATTTGGCATGATCATTTCGGCTCACTATTCATTAGGGCCCATTCAATCAGTTCATGACAAGCCATAAATTAATACATGGATTTATACTCGTCTCCTTGGATCTCGCCACTCATCGCCGGAAGGTGTCGTTCGTTGCACCATCACCTTTCACCACATAGATGATACCGTCAAATCGGAGAATACAGGGTATTGCGAGGGGATGATCGGATGCTGGAATACATGGACATAAATAGACTAGGTGGAGTGTGGACAAAACAGTAAAAAAAATGTGTGGGCGCCTGAGGGGTGGAGAGAGGGCGAGGGGTGAGGGGAGGGAGGTAAGACGTGTTACGTAGCAAAATTATAAAGTTAACAAATAGCTTGGAACAATTATCTAAGCAATTCCGATGTACAAAGTTATTTTTTTTAAAAGAATCATAATTTTGAAAGTGTGGTACGAATAATCCATACCTCCATCAGCTCAAAAGATGACTACTTAACTATCAACTGCAGCTATACAAGACCTGATCTGGTGAATTATGGAAGTAAATACACGAAAGTACAACCCAGAGCCTTCCTCATATGTAGAAGAGGAGAGGGATATATACCCAAGGATATAAATGTAAGCAACCAGCAGCTTACTTTAGGGGAGGAAAGAGATTCAGACCTCAGAGAGATTCATACCAACAGAGATAAAAGCCGATGAACACTATGTATCAAAATATCAAAGCATGCATTCTCGCTTCAGGAGTAGGAATGTGATGTGTTAGGAAGTTCATCCTTCAACTCCTATTTGATTCTGGTACAAAGCAACTACAAGAGAGGAGGAGGGAAGAAATGAGCCAGAGGATAACCATCTGATGAACATGGCAGAGTGACCATGGACTGAGGTGGAAATAGTGCCCACATAGCTGTAATCCTATTCTTCTGATTCAGGAAACTTCTGCTGAGGGATTCATTGATTCCGGCGAAAGATCTCACATGGACACCTGTTTCTCTGTTCGACCACTATGGAAATGAGACTTCTTAGGTCATGACATTCAGCATGATGAATTGCAGATTACCAGTTGTCACCAACACAAAGTAATCCTAATTGTTCTATAAGGAAGAAAGGCCATTGGATACTCACATATTTGTCACCAGCCTGTGCTATATCCTAATGTTGTTTCTCAAAGTTAGGATCTGCTTGTAGAATCTAAAGCTGAACACCCTACTTGTTATAGCTGACTGATGTTGTTATTATTGTGTAATGCATACACATTAATCCAATGACCGCACTGTGGATAACAGAGGAAACGTTAGGATGCTGGCCTCTTCCTCACATGACTCATCACTCCATTACTCTTGGCCATCTGTCTGAAAGCGGACAGAGGTTTTAGCAGCTGCGTAGCTACCATCTCTGCCTAAATATGTTCTTTCCATATAGGCTAGTTAGAGCTTGCGACTGTACTATTCGATGGAACTCATCAAACAAAAGAAAAAGTTGAAGAGAAGAGATTTATTTTAACTGAACTAGCTAGCTAGTTTAGGAAAATAAAATTTCTTGTTCAGCTCAAAGAAAACATTAAAGACTGTATAAGTGTATGACCTAAGGAATTAGTGAATGCACTCTTTTTAGATGAATGTATATATATTCTTCAAGATATTTTTTAAATAAACTTTTGTCCAGATTTAATGAATAGAAGGTCTCCTGCTTTTCCTTATAATGATATCTTCAAGATCTCTCAGAAGTTAACTCGTAGGAGGGCAGGAAGTGAGATTAGACAAATACATATGCAATGGATTCTAGTTTCAGGAGCTGGTTCTGAGGAATCTGGGACTTGAACCCATAACTTTAAACACTGCAATCATCATACAGTGAGTGAACATAGTACAGTAGTGATCATACAGGGAGAATTGCAAGGTGAAGATAGAAGTAGGAATCAGAGGCATTTGGAAATGCAACGAAGGATAAGATGGCTCAGAGCCACGTTGATCCTGTGATAGCTGAGGAAGAAGCTCTGGATGCAAATCAGAGTCGTTTCCTGATTGCAAACTGGCCTGATGAAACTGCTTTCTCATCTGCTGAGCTACTCACTGATTCTAATGAATGGGATCTGATTGTGTCATTTGGGGCATTCATCAGTGTGATGCATCACAGATTACCAGGTTTCAGGGTGAATGCCGAAATACTGAAGTCCAAACATGTGGTTTTTGCATGATGCAGTTTCCCTGAACTGAAATGTGTCTCACTAAACCACCAGGTGCTTAACATTTGTTTTTTGTACCTTCCAATTTCATACTTATTGGCTCCTAATTAGCAGATCAAACTCAGATAGCACCCTCTGTTAATTGCATATAAAGATGGACCGAGGAGGAAGAGAAGGATATGCATTCTCCTGCATATGAGCGGTGCGGACCAGCATGGAGGGAGGAGGCCGTAAATCTCATGCATCGTCGGATAAACTAATATGAAACTTGATTTGACTTGGTTTGCTAACCCAGTTCAAAATCTAGCCTGCATATATGTAATTAAATCCTACGCCAAAGACTGAAAACTATCTCAATCGCACACACATACTCCGTATTTCACATTCCCACTAATTTTCAAGTTCTGGGATTATATAATGATTCCATCGTTGAGCTATCTGCTGTACGAATTGGAGATCAGTGCTCTGAATCCATGTCTGAACTCTGAAGTTTGAACAGAGCCAGTAGATTAGTTTCATGACTTCATCCATCTATGGTAGGGTGAAGATACTGTGATTGAAAGGCATGAGAGGGAAAAAAAATCAAGGAGATGGGTCTGCCATGGACGAACCCGGGGGAAAAAAAATCAAGGATGGTTCCAAATCTTTGGCGAAGGAGAAATACTGTGCATCAACGAAGGGTGGGCATGGTGAGGCGCCGGTACCGCCAGGTACTCGATTCATGACAGCCGTCCGATCATCCTAGATCAACGGCCTAAATTTAGTACCGGCGTGCACTGCTGGATGGTAAAAACTCTCCTCCAACATTTTGTAGATACCAAATAAATTGAGGGGAGATAGGAGAGGAAGAAGATGAAGAGAGGATATAGAGATGCATATCAAGTTATCAACACACGTTCTTGTGGACAACCTCATCTGAAGTTTCATTGGCTTCAATAGTTCAATTATTTCCTTGCAAATTGCGGGACCAGGACTGGGATGCATTAGGAATGCATCAATTGGGAATGTGATGGGCTGATAGCCAAGCCCCACTCCACTTCATGTTGTGTTACAACACTGTGTTGCTTTGTGGGTGCCTGGGTGGGCGTAGCTTTTGTTTTCTCAATTGAAGTAGTTACGTTGTTCTGTGATGTGCATGTGATGGCATCACAGATCAAGCCTATCCTGTATTTTGTTTTGTGTTTCTACTTTGTAAAAAAAAGTTAGAAAACATTGTTTTTTTACTTCCTCTATTTTAGGTTATAAGATGTAAAGTCAAAACTGCTTCAATTTTAACCAAGTTTATAAAAAAATAGTAATATTTTCAACCCAAGATAAATTTATTATAAAAACAAGAAAGATATCCCGCGCGGATACGCGGGCATGCATCTTAGGTTAGGTTTGAGAAACTTATAAAGATGAATTTTTTTTATCAAAATAAAGATGGAATATTAACCGAAGAATATATGCCACTGTTAATAGTACTATTTCTCCACAATTTTTTTCCGTTAGCACTGCTTATAAAATTTTAACCTATTAGTTACATTTATACTACGTCATATTTAAATAAGAGTAAAATGCACCGGCAGTCCTTAAACTTGTCAGGAGGTTTCACTTAGGTCCACGAACTTGCAAAGCACACATCGAGGTCCAAGTTTAATGTATCATCCCGGTCCAAAGCCGCGTTTGACCGTGATCTTGCCTACGTGGCACGCCACGTGGATGATGACATAGAATTTTTTTTATTTTTTTCTCCCTTCTTTTTTTCTCTTTCTTCCTTGTCGAAAAGGCGAAAATGCCTTGTACACGTCATTGTCTTTTCATAAAAGAGAAAAAAAAGAAGGAAGGAGGGAGAAAAAAATAAAAAAATTCCATGTCATCGTCCACGTGGCATGCCACGCAGGTAAGACCACGGTCAAACGTGGCTTTGGACCGGGATGATATAATAAACCAAGTTTAGGGACCTCGATGTGCGCTTTGCAAGTTCGTGGACCTAAATGAAACCTCCTGACAAGTTTAAGGACCGTTGGTGCATTTTACTCTTTAAATAATTTCTATATGCAATTGTTTATAATCTTCTTCATCATCTAAATAGAAGATAGACTTATTTTGTTTAGAAAACATGCCTACCAAATTAAGTGTAAACTAAAAGCAAGGGTTTTTCATTTTTTTAATTGGATTACTGATGTATTGGGTAGGACATGAGGATACACTGAATACATGGGTTTCTTGAGCCTGATAGACAATCCATATGTGAACGTTTCATTTAGAGTGTGTGCGAGGCTCCACATAGCCTATTATGAATATGATTGGATGGCTAAATATAATTGTGTAATAATTATTTTTTGAATGCTATATATCATGAATACATGGTTCTATAATATGATATAGTAGTAAAAAAATAGCCAACATGGTCTTGAATTGTTGATTTAATTTAAAACTATGGCCACTCAAATCTATCTATCTATCTATCTATCTATTATATACTAAAAGTCCATTAAATTAAACTTCCTATAAACGCTCTCAAGCTGCCATGTGGCGCTCTAATAAATTAGAGAAAATCTTATAAATTCTAAGAAAAAAGCAAAACATCTACCCCTTGATTTTCACTTATTTTGATGGGTCCAATATTATACACCGTTAGATAAAATTGATCTTAAAACAAACCAAATACTATGGGTCCCACCTTTCCTCCTTCTCCCGTGCATGTGTACGTGGGTATATATATACACTTACGTACCGTGTACGTACACCCTTCTTTTCTTTTTTTTCTTCTTTTTCCATTTATATAATATGGATATATACTTTTTTAAATAACCATAAATTTACAACATAAAGAATCTACCATCATAGAATCTACCATCATATAACTCACTGGTAACTAAATTAACTCTACAATTTTTGAAAATAAAATTTAAACCATTATATGTGACCATTAAATTAATAATGTAATATAGTTTCCACTTAAACATGTGTACTCATTATTTTTACTATTATTTTCAAATAATGCACTATTTTAAAATAAAGTTTACACAATTATATTGTGTACCTATCAAATAAACAGTTTAAGATGTATATTAAACCGATGGACCCATTATTTAAATTATCGGAACTATTTTTTATTACATCGGACTATTATTCTCAAATAATGCATGGTTTCAAAATAAAGTCTACACCATTATATTATGTACCCATTAAATTAACAATTTAAAATCTATATTAACTAATGTACACTTACACTAGAACCGGTGGACCCATTATTTAAATCATCTGATATATTATTTGCTAATAAATAAAGCGTCTGAAGTTCTCTTTTTTGCCCGCTGCACAATGCACGTCTGCACCTTTACTTTTTGCACGCGTGACAAAGCATCGTGTCTGAGGCATCTAAGGTGATCACGACTACCGCAGCACTACCATTTTGCTACATATCAAATCATATATAGAGATGATGCAGTGAGAGAAGAATTAAGCACTGTGGGTTGTGTTTTTTTCCAACACTTGGCTTTGTTTAAGCTGAAACCGAGAGTTGATTACAGAATAATTATAATGTATTGTGTTATGTCGTATTTGGATTTTGTACTATTTGTTCGTATAGACGAAAGAAATCATTATGTTATAAATGTGAGCACAATATTAACGAATATCAATAGCACTCTTACAAAGACTAGGGTGTTATAAGGGAGTTTAAGATCCTCTTTTTGTTCCGATTCCATAGTTTGTAAATGGTGTCTTTTTTAAACAACATTTTAACTTTTTAGAAGTCAATTTATTCGTTTATACCCTCAAATAGCTATCACATAAATCAGATAATTCATCAATTTTAGCTGTCCTAAACCCTAAGTAGTACATATTTTTTTTATGCGAGTCATGGTGATCAGTAAATTGGGGATCAATGGATAATCAAAGTCGTAAGATGAATATGTAAGAGCTACTATGAACAACTGTAAATAGGTGTCAAAATTAATTGCTACTAATTAGACATCTAATGGCTTGCTAGCCACATAATTAATTTCTCTCAACATATATATAAACATGCACGAAGCTGGAACAAATATTACCATATGCCCTATACATATATATTAAGCGGTTAATATTCTAATTACACGTGTTAAGTCCTTTAAAATTTCTTAAAACGCTCTCAAGCTGTCACGTATTAGAAATTCTAAGGGGAAAAGAGTATCAATTACTTGATTTTTCACTTAATCGGTACGTCCAATATTATAAACCGTTAGATTAAATTAATCTTAGAAAAAACAAAATACTATAAGGTCTCACCTCTCGTCCCATGGCATAGGTATGCACCTACGTACATGGGTACTTACGCTTCCCCTCCCTTTTTTTATTTTTCCCTTTCTTCTTTTTTTCCATGCATACACTTCCCTCCCTTTCTTACTATATCATGCGCCTTCTTGAGATGATTTAATCATAAGAATTTTGAGTATCTTGCTCTTGCATTTTTCATTTGTGGCCATACTACACGGTATGCATATAGATGGACTGTATGATACTTAACTAGCAATAGTTTCTTATTTACTCGAGAAAAAAAATGATTTAAAAGTCATACCTTAAGAAAAAGTTTGTAAATGGTTTTTTAAGATACCTTAAGAAAAAGAACTTTAGTTTGCCCTTCATCTATAAGACAAAATTTTTGAATAAACAATAATTTTACCTTTCAATAATAAATAATATAAGTGCCCGCGCATGTGCGCGGGCCACCTTCCTAGTGTATCCTAAATTAAACATGTAGATCGTCTAAAGATAATTGTTTATTTAAAGCACCAAGATGACTCCTATGTAAATACCTAGTGCTTGCACATTTACACCCAGATAAGTCTCCATGAAAAATAGATCTAATAATTTATGATAACAAATTATGGTGTACATGCATATCGTGTAAATACAAATAAAATTAGGAACTGGATGCATGCATCAATCGAGCACGCAGAGGCCATACATAATTATCCTGCCTAATGTCAATGATAAATCAAGCAACCAAATAAATAAGCATTGCAACTACCATATGTAATTGGTCCACATACGTACGTGTGGATCTGGGATAGAAGGGTGACGGTGGATTTGGTTTTGATCCAATGGCCAATAATATTGGGTCAACCACTTTAAATAAAAACTGACGGTTAGATGTTTTTTTTTCTCAGAATTTTCTTTAAATTATAAGAGCGCCACATGGCGGTTTAGGAGCGTTTGTAGGAGTCCACGTGGCAACTTGAGAGTATTTGTAAGAAGTTTAATGGACTTTTAGTATATAATAATAGATAAATAGATAGATTTATTCAATTATTAATTTAATAAAACTAATTTGGTAATGTAAATATTACTATATTTGTCTATAAACTTAGTTAAAATTGAAGCAGTTTGACTTTGACCAAAGTCAAAACATCTTATAACCTGAAACGGAGGGAGTAATTTTTTAGTTTAATAAATGAAAGAGCCAAAACTAAACCATGAATGGATTGCGTCAATACAATAAGATAATTTCAACTAGATAAACTTTGGAAGCATTAATTGATGGTTTCTCAGTTCTCTCCACTGGTTCAAGAAGTATATTAGCGTGATCCTCAATCAAATTAGACAAAGACAATATTCATATTATGAACGGTTGGGTTGGAGAAACAACTGATCACATATGCTACAAAATCGTTGAACGCCTTTAATTGATCAGGTCATAAGCAGTCAGTGGATGAGTGGAGTACTTATCAATTAATTTGACACGATCACCTTGCAATGCTTTGTAGCAATTACTCTCTCCGTCCTTTAATATAAAGGATTTTGATATTTTTTTTATTGTTTGGTCACTCGTCTTATTTAAAAAAATGTGCAAATATAAAAAACGAAAAGTTGTGCTTAAAGTACTTTGGATAATAAAGTAAGTCAAAAAAAAATAATAATTCCATTTTTTTCTGAATAAGATGAATGATCAAACAGTGCAAGCAAAATACCAAAATCTCTTATATTAAGGGACGGAGGGAGTACTTTGCCAGGGATGCTTATTGTAGTGCCCGTTCCGTCGTGGCGTCTAGCGGGAAAATTATCTCTAAAAACCCTAATTGCGAAATTTGTTTCTTTGCTTGTTGTCTAGTGTCCGTGCCATCTCAGATCTCAAATCCCCGATCTAACGTCGAGTTCAATCCCGAATCCAAACCCTTCCCAAATCATTTCCTCCGCAAAAGTCTATTTTGCCTCCCCCGGGGTCGATGGGCCGAATTTCTCTCGGCCCATCTTC